AAAAAATTTCTCCCAAAATTTGTGGCTTTTTTTATCGATATCTCGATAACGATACGCGAAAAATGTATAGGACCTTAATTGTAGATCGTACAAAGAGCAACAAAAAAGTATTCCATAAAAATTTTCGTATCTCGACGGGGAACCGAGTTATGATAAAAAAACTGAGTTTAACCCTTTTTTCAAGATGGCGGAAAACCCACAAGGTTTTTTTGGTCGACAATTTGAACTTCAGCTTTTCTAGCCACCCCCCCACGTAATATCCAAAATTTGGCTTTCTCGGTTCATTTGCATTTCCAAATGTATATAATGACTGGACTAAAAAGGTTAGTCATTAATACAATCCCGAAAAGCACACGTTTTAAAAAGAACTGTTACTATATGTGCATTCAAATTTTTAATAATATTCCACATTCAATAAGAGATTTGCCTTTCAGTAGATTTAAAATAACACTACATAGATGGCTCATTGAACGTAAATTCTACTCGGTCCAGGAATTTTTGAATTATGATAGCTAATATATAAATAATAGTGATTTTGGTGGATGAGATTTTGAGTGACATATACTGATTTAATTATATTTTTGATTCACAATTTAATAGGACCTGATTTTAATCGAATTTTTATATTTTTGACTATTTATTTTGTGACCTGTTAAGTAATTTTTATTCAATCATGTGACATAGTATTAATTAATTTGATAAAAAACTGAAGTAAATTTGCATGCTACGTTCTATAGCTGAATAGGTGAAACCTACAGTATAGTAACTATTTATGACCTTGATTACCCTGTTCAAACGCAAATAAATAATTATTCTATTCTTATTCTATTCTATTCTTAAAGTTAAGGAATCCATAAGAGATAGGTTCAAAGAATTTGGTATAATGACGGTCGTATCACAATACATATACGAAAATTTATTACTTGTAAGAAAAAATATTAATTTGTTTCTTAAAAACAGTGATGTTCACACACTTAATACAAGAAACAAAAATAAACTAACTTTACCTGCTACTAGGCTTCACAAAATCAATAATTCATTTAAAGGTCTTTCTGTTCGCTTATACAATAAAGTCCCAAGCAATATCCAAGAGTTAACCATAAATAAATTCAAAGATAGTATAAAAAAAGCATATTACAAAGTGTCTGATTATATTACAGACAAAAATGCTTGGGTTTGAACTGTTCCAATCATTCCAACAGGTTTTCTATATTAAATCAATCATTGTATTGACGTTGTAACAACACAATGATTTGTAAATGTTGTTACATTATGCTTTTAATATTGTGGAGTTTTATCGCTCGTTTTTCTCCGCAACTAAAAATATGTCCAATAACGAGTGGTAGGGAAAAAAATGTTTGGACGATTCAAAAGTGTTGTACTATACATCCAATTTGAATAAAGATATATTGATTTCTGATATCTGAGCATAGTACATCAGCTGGTCCACATTTCAAGTTAGACACGAACTTCAGCAATGATGATAGCGACTAAGAAGAAGCCTCCTTGCTTTGGAAAGGGCGTTAAGCTGTTGATCCGGATGCATTTTTTTTCCCCTATTTTGCTATCTAGTATCCATATGTGGTTATGGGTAGTCATACTCTCTTAAAAATCTCTTCGGCGGTGTCGTGTGAGGCGGGTCGTTACGTTCCCTAAAAAATGGTTGAGCGAAGCGATGGCTGGTTTATGCGTCATGCTCGTGAACGGGTGCTGCTAGCGGAGATGAGTCTGCTCTTGCTACATTGGGCACTATTAATCGTTGTATTTAACTTTAATGGTACATTTGTTTTTATACCTAAACAGTGGGACACGGCATTCCTAAACTTTTTTTCATTTTTAAATCTGTTTTTTATATTTTTTATTTTATAGTCATAATTGTTTTATCATTTACATTTGTAATGGAATGTGACTTCATGGGTTATCTCATATTGAACTCATTTTCAAATTGACGACTCTGTATATAATACAGGGAGAAAAAAACAGCCCTTGCTGAGTTTCTTGCCGGTTCTTCTCAGTACAAGGTCTCCCGCCGTAGATTTGCGAACCGATGGCGTAGCTTTTCGACATTCACAAGTGCTTGTAACAGCCTAGACGAATAAACGATGAATAAACGATATTGAATTTTGAATTTTTGAATTTTTTGAATTTAAGTATTTTGCCGTGTTTAATATTCACAAATCTGAATCTGAATTTAAGATAGAACTGATGATGATGATTTTGTTCCCTACTGATTTTCATAAGATTAAACACGATCATCAATCAGGTGCACTTATAACATACGCTAATTATTTACCTACTTAATACTGATACGGATGTTAATTAGTTAAATATGCAATAATAATAATAATAATGCTTAATTTCTTCTCCTCACAATCCCATGCACAATAAAAAATACAAACTTAATGAATTAATTAATGTCTTAATGACAAGATTGTGGAGAGGCTGGTATCTGAACTAGGCCGCAGCCTGTATCTCAGAAGACCAGTACTCTCCCCTCTTAACAGTGGTACATAATAACAAAATTATGTTCTAATAAAATAAAATAACTGTATCTTAACAATTTTGAAGAGAACTATAACATCTGAATGTAATTATTTAATGTAATAGGTAGGTTAAAATATAATGTTTAGGTAATTGAAATAATGAGTAGTTTCAGTACAATGTGGCTGTAGGCACACGCAATTCAATACAGTACCACTAGCACGAACAAATATCGAAGTTGAATAGTATGATGCGAGTCCAAAATGTCATTGTCAAATGTATGGAAACGGAATGGACGTAACGAGAACTAAAAATCTGTACACATTTGACAATGACATTTCGCAGTCGCAAACTATTGGTTCGTGCTAAAGGTACAGAGCTAAGGTCTAATAAACAGTGATCATGTGTCTGAAAACAAAACTTTTACGAGAAGTCAACCTTTTATTCAATTTGATGTTAAGGCAAAAGTTAAGCAGGAATATAAATACCTCAACACAATAGAGGTAAATAGGTACCTACCTATTTAGCTCTATTGTACTTTGATATAATCTGTGAATATTGTGTCTGTTACATTTACATAAAACCTCAGCATAAACCACCGCCAATCAGCGAAGCGAAAACTCGCAAGGAAAAAAAAAAGAAAGTTCAAAAAAGTTCTACCCAATATAAAACTTTGTAAAGAGGTCGTATCTCAAATGAGTTTCGTTTATAAACTTTGTCGTGTTTCTTCTATTCTGGGGATGCAATAAAAAATATGTTCCCCGTAAGCAACAGGTCGCGGCACCTCCGACCTTTGAGGTTTTCTCTCGTAAAAATGGGGATAGATCAGTAATTCCATTATTCCGGTTGGATGAACTATAAAATTTGATTTGTACGATGTTCTTACAGAACAATTTACAATAGGATACAAATAAGATGTTATTCTTTTTTTAATTCTGCAGTCTTGTCATAATTAAACACAATATAAACTCTTTTTTATAAAATTGTTTCTTTGTAGGTATTTATGTTGACTTAGATTTTGTAAGTCAACAGAAATACGGGGATATCAGTCATAATACAAATAAATATTATTTGAGTCGCGAAACCAAAATCCGTTTCTCAAAATTTGTGTGAAAATCTCCTAAACCATAAGTAAACCTTTTTAGACTAATAGATTTCTCACCCTTTTTTTCTTATTCCACTTAGTATCATCAACAGCCTATCCTAGTCCACTGCTGGACATACGCCTCTCCAATTGCACGCCACTAAGATCGATCTTGGGCTACTCGCATCCAGCTCCTGCCAGCCACCTTGCGCAAATCGTCACTCCATCGTGCCTGAGGACGTCCTACACTACGTTTGCCTAGACGCGGTCTCCACTCCAGAACTCGTCTACCCCAACGGTTATCGGTTCTTTGGCAAATATGGCCAGCCCACTGCCACTTCAACTTGTTAATCCGGTGGGCTATGTCGATAATTCTGGTTCTCTGTCGGATTACCTCATTTCTGATGCGATCCTTCAGAGAAAACGCCGAGCATAGCCCTTTAACTTTAATTCAAAGTATAAAGATTTACCAAAATTATATAAGAAGCGCATTTTCAATAAAGACTATTACTTATAGGACACATCAAAAATGTTACAAGCTTGTATTTAACTTGCTATGTATATTTGTTACGGTCAAATCTTACAACTCAATTTTAAAGCACTTGTTCTCAACCGATTAAGCTGAAATTTGATATGCTCGTTCAGTTCGGATGACAATGCATGATTAACAGTGTGACGTCATTCTAAATCCAATATGGCGGCATACCCAAAATGGCGGACCAATCATTTTTAATGCATTCCTACAATATGGGTATCAAATTAAAGGGCTTGCTGAGAGTAACTCGAAAAAAATGTGACGTCACTCTCAATCCAATATGGCGGACTTCTGAAATTTGAAAATCTATTTAGAAACAGATATCTTTAACTAATTTAGTTGAAATTTTCTTTTTTTCTTTTTAGCGCATTTGAATAAAAGCTTGTTTTTAAAAAGGTTTTTTTTTACCTTAATTTTATTTTTCTTTTATTGTGGATAGCGTTTGTTTTGTTGAAATTATGCCTTAACCCGCCCTAAAGAAATTAAAAAAATCAGTTTTGTAAGAAAAACAAATCACTGTCGGCATCTTTATACTATTTACGGCGGGCAGTTTTTCAACGGAGCAGTGGGCTGTTTGTTTCCAGATAGATTGCCTGCTTTGGCTACGAGAGGAACCTTTTTCTAAATTATTTCGTAAACTAATCGCATCCACCGCATTTTGTTAAAAATTGCTTTTCTTGTTTCATTTAAAAAGGGTGGTGAACAAGCGTAATATTATATTGTTTTAAACTTTCATGGTCACTAACATTAAAGATATTAACGGGATTGTTACCATGTACCTTGTTTTTTATGAGTTTCCGATATTTCGGCACTGTTGCAAGCGCCATGATCACGGAGTAACGGGTAATTCCTTACTCCGTGATCATGGCGCTTGCAACAGTGCCGAAATATCGGAAACTCATAAAAAACAAGGTACATGGTAACAATCCCGTTAATATCTATAAAGCGTAATATTAGCCAGCCTGAATGCTTAGCGGCCAACAAGAACTATAGATGCTTATGCTACCAGGTGCTACGAGTAAACTGACATTTGGGCCTCTGCACCAAATTCCTAATTCATATTTAAAGCTAATCATGTTTAAGTCTCATTCTATCTCTATTTACCTGTTAAAAAATGACAAATACGGAATAATGTGTTAAACACTTAGATCTTAAACAGATGGAGATGCCATACCGTACACTCGCCGAACAAAATTTTCCGTCATTTTTAGCGGGGGACGAGGTAGGTATTGCACACAAAACGAAAATATGATATATATAATATGTATATGATCTAAGGCTTAACACGATAAAGCCTTAATTTGAAGAACTTTGCTAACAAGTGGGACTTAGTCTCATCTATCAATCAATCTGAGTGTCCTATTATCGACATTATTATTGTTAAGAGCCCTTTTACAAAATTGCGCCGCTGCCGTACTAATCGGCGCATAGGTAGATTTGCACTAGTATATATTGCACTTTACAGGTGATGTTTCGAGTCTTATAAAATAATTGTTAATGAACTAATTATAAAAATATATACATATTTCAGTAGTTCAATGATGTTAGATTATTAAATTCAATATCAAAATACGAGGTTAGATGTTTTTAGAATCCAGAGCCGTAAAACATATTAATAAAAAAAAAATTAGATGTTTTTTTTGATAATTAATGAGATGGAAAATCAAAATTCTAATACATTACGTTACAACAAAAACTTATTTCTGATGGGTAGTAATTAATTTGATCTAATTTATTGAACATTATTCAGAGATTCAGGTGTTTAAAGTTGTGCATATTATCGTTGTTTCCGTAAACTAGCTGCGGTAGAACGATCAGTAAAATAGTATTTGCAAATACTTATTCAACATTCACTTACAATAGGAAGAATAAATCTACTGTTTTCTTCTATTGGCAATAGTCAAAATCTCTTCTAAGGGGCTAAACGAGGCGTTCAAAAATTACGATTTTATGGAAAAAATGTGAAAGGACTCTTAATTATTCTATTGATTCGAAATGTTTTTCGACATTTTAGTGGATTTACGTTTTCGTGAAAGTGCGAGCGTATTATTTGATAATGGACAAATGGACATTACGTTGAATTGTTCTGCATAAATTATATTAAATATAATATAATTTATATTTTTTTTTTATTATTATTATTTTTTTTTATTATTAAATGGGGCTGATCAAGGCTGCACATTTGAACTCCAATGTAACTTTTAACCAGTGTATCACAAAGAAAGTATTTGATTGATTGATTGAATCTATTAGGCATATTATGCTTTTGATACCAGGTTCTAGAAAACCTAAACTCAAATTCAATCAATCAGTTTAAGCTATTGCAAGTTGGTTCTTTCTTCGAACGCTATGCTATGGGTTCGCAAGTCTACGAACTTAGCCAGAGAAGAACCGGCTAGTAACTCAGCAAGGGCTATTATTTTCTCTCTGTTTTATTTAATAAAGTGTCACACAATACCTAGTGGTCATGGAAGGTAATACGCAAGTGATCTCTCGCAACTACTTATATTATTTGTGTGTTTAAAGTGTCTTTTACATATGAAAATTACTCAATAATATTGGAAATAGAGTCTGTGCGGAAAGAGAATGGGCGTGGCGAAAAACGGAACTAACATTAAGATTTTTATTTGGCAATCAAACCCAGCAATCTGTAAAACGTCAAAGTTTTGTATTGATACGTATTTGTTTGTTGTTGTGATTTCTTGCGGTTTTTTGTATTTAATCATGTCTAAAAGGGGTAAAACCTTACGTGAACCATAGGGCATTGTCAGGTAACTTTAATTGTATAATTTATGACATACCACATTATGTTTATTTATGTTAGTAGCCTAAAATACATGAGACTCGGCTCGAAATTTGAAATACCTACTATCCACACCCTAAAGCGGGTATTCAACAAAATTTTATTACAAGATTCCATGTTCTTAGAAAGAAGCTTAGATTTTTTACACGCTTTTATTACCTTGTTACTTAAAATTTCTAGAGAAAAACTGATTGAAAGATACGATTTCAGCTTGACGCTTGAGTAAAATAAAAGAAATGTATGCTTAGTAGTTCTGAGTCAGGAGAATTAATTATGTTAAGGTGTTTTTCTAATGTTTTAAATCAAACCATCAAATTTCTAGTTTTTAACGTTATTAAAAGTTTCACTAGAAAATTTACAGCAATTTCATGAAATTATAGTTCCGAACGTGCTAAAGCCCTTGATGGACATATTGTTTTTCTTCCAGACTTATGCCAGGTTCGAGTGGATTTTTATTATATTAAAGCTTTTGTTTGGGGTTTCTTATTTTTCTGCCGAGTCTAGCTCAGATATTGTTGTACAAGTGCAAAAATAAATAGCTGTAATTTAACAAGTACATGAAAATAAATACAACTTCAATACAACCTCCAGCCTGATAGTTGAATTTGACCACTGTTAGGTTTGTAGTAATATTATTTAATTAGCAAAGTCATCGATAGATGGCGTTACTGTTGTGTTTAATATTTTTCTATGCAAGTTCTGAATCACGGTATTTAGTTTGTTTTTTGAATATACTTAAGTTCAATATTATTTTGTAGTAAATCAGAATACAAAACCATGGCACATTTATTGTCGAAATTTTTGAATGTTGTTTTGACACCTGAGCATAGAGAAAGACCATCAACTCCCAAATGTGTGTCTATGATTTTTTCTCTCTCCAACTGAAGGCAAAGGCCACAGTTAAACAGGCAGCCGCTGCATTCGAGACGAGATAACGTAACAACTCAAACCCATATATAACTATGCTCGCCGTAAGCGGAGGAAAACAGAATACCTACCAAAATCAGCGAGGAAATTCAATTTCTATTAAAATTCAAAATCGAGTCAAAAAAACGCCCTATTGAGAACTCAAATCGATATGGGAAAAAATAATTCAAATTTCAACAACTGGCAAACTCCATCCACCCATCCACACGCACCAACAGAGATCCACTTCTTTCTTTTTTTTTATAAGTCTCAAGTCGAATTCTGAGTCGAATGAAAAAAAAGCAACTATTCCTTCAATGCTATCAACCCAATCAATGAAGTTTGACAGCTACGTTGACGTAAGCGATTCACTATCATAGACAAAACAGCTGTCCTACGTGTGTCAGTAATATGGGTGTCACGTCACTGTCACGCCCTGTTTAAAAACAAAGGGTACGGCCAGAGTGCACTCAGATTCAGATTCAGACTCAGAAAACAAGCGCGAGAAATAAACAGTGTAGTTAAAGCAGGGTGGCCATAGTGGCAGCAGGCAACCTGCTTAAACTACATTGTATATTTCTCGCGCTTGTTTCCTGAGTCTGAATCTGAATCTGAGTGCACTCTGGCCGTACCCAAACACTACAAAATAGGCAACTTTTGCCACAGATTTCGGTGTTTTATTTACTTAAGTAGCTTACAGACTTTTTGAGATTTGAATAACCACCTCTTTTATTTTCGTATAGGTATAATTTTAACTGATGCTGATAAACACTTTGATGTTCTTCCGACTAATCTAAATGCATTTGTTCAAAATTAGCTTATCAATAACAAGTTTATTAAATACTAGTGGCCCGCCCTCGCTTCGCTTCGGAGTAGAGCTGTAGTGTAAACTATAGTTTTTGTTCTCAGGCTTGTGCTATAAACAATGACTTTATTTATATAATTACACGTGTTATTGTGAGTCAACCATAAAAGATACACATATGCTGTTGCGGGATATTTTTAGACAATTTTATGTAGAATATTTCCGTTATACATGATTTCTATGTAACTTTAACCATTAAGGCTGCACACGCGACGGAAGCTTAAAAAATGGAGTCACTTCTCCCGTTTTCCCAACATTTCCCTTCACTACTCTGCTGCTATTGATTGTAGCGTGATGAAAAGTATACTATAACCTGCCCAGGAGTATGAAGAATAATTGTACTAAGTTTCGTTAAAATCCGTCGAGTAGTTTTTGTTTCTATAAGGAACATACACACAGACAGACAGACAGACAAAAATTTTACTGATTGCATTTTTGGCATCAGTATCGATCACTAATCACCCCCTGATAGTTATTTTGAAAATATATTTCATGTACAGAATTGACCTCTCTACAGATTTATTATAAGTATAGATGTAACATAATCAACAACTGTTCTTTTATTTACAAAAGATGTCAATTTAGAATCAGTCGCTCTTGTTCGCTTTGTTCCTATCTTTGAAGTCTTTGGTGTCAAAATATGTAGTTTCCGAATATTTGAAATAAACACTCGTGTAGTCTTCCTCTGGATACAGAAGTAGATATCTGGAACAGAGGAAATATTTGTTTTGCACTCCTGCTCGATGCTGGCACTTCACATGACTGTTCTTATTTGCTATTTGTAAAAGTGCCAGTAGTTTTATCCTTTTCATACTCAACAAAAGATGAAATGGATATACTGCCGCCAAATATCAAATACGTATATTATAATCGTCAATAGTAATACCAAGCTATTAAGTAAATTCGAAATTAAAAATTGAGGAGCTCGATGGCGCAAGTGGTTAGCGCGTTCGGCTGCGATCGTTGAAGTTAAGCAACTTTCGCAGTGGTCGGTCATTGGATGGGTGACCGAAAATTTACTATATCGAGCTCCTCCGTGCTTCGGAAGGCACGTTAAGCCGTTGGTCCAGGCTGCATCTGCAGTTGTTAGCACCCACCAATCCGCACTGGGCCCGCGTGGTGGGTCATGGCCCAATCTCCCTATTCCATCCATAGGGAAGGCCTGTGCTCCAGCAGTGGGGACTTTAATAGGCTGATGATGATGATGATGAAGTAAATTCTCCTATTTGTAAGGGAATTCTTTTCCAAACATTGCACAGTTTTGATATCTTTAACACAGAAAAGTTAAGTTGTGTTGTTGAATTATGTACTTAGGTACTTACTATACTTAACAAGAATAAGATTTAAATATGCACTAGGACTTGCAACGATGTTTTTAATAAATTTACTACAGCTGTGAGAAACCCACAGAACATAGAAAGAGGTTAGAATTGCCTTGTTAATTGCCCAATTAATGTGTGAGCAAATGCTCGTAACTTGACTAAAACTTGATTTTGATTGCGTCGTTGCTCTCGGCTGTGAGCGCTGATTGGTCCGATTGTTTGATGTCACGCCGTTTGATTGGCTATTATCTATTAGGTGGAAGTGTAGCGGGGTGGAGCTGCGACACCGGTTCCCGTACAAACGGTCTCTGATCACACTTCTAACCCCTTTCTGTGTTCTGTGGAGAAGCCCTTTTAAATTATCACTTCCTCTTCCTCATAGATTCGCGAACCCATCCCGTAACTAGCCTCCGCCAAAGTTACTAAACATTCGTACAGCTGGTCCGAAAAATGTGTATGTTTGTTTGACACTTACTTCTCTAAAGGAACTTTGGAGCAGAAGGCTCGTAGTTGTCCCGTAAACGGCAGCACGAAACGCTCTGCTACGTTAACGTGCTGCACTACGTCGTAAGCCCATTCAGATTGTTGGTACCGCAGCTCTGGCAAATAAATAAATAGAATACATTATCATCATAAGCCCATTAATGTCGCTACTGCTGGGGCACGAGCTTTCTTTATGCTCTAGAGCTCTGTGACGTCACAGCCACCATGCACCAAGCCGAAAATTCGTTTAGTAATTTGGTCATAACTTCGTTAATATTTGTCGTAGAACAAAAATTTAACCTACAGTGGTTAAATCGTTGAAGTAAAGCAAATTTTCGCAGTGGTCGGTCATTGGATGGGTGGCCAAAAATCTTCTATCTCGAGTTCCTCCGTGCTTCGGAAGGCACGTTAAGCCGTTGGTCCCGGCTGCATCTGCAGTCGTTAGCACCGGCCAATCCGCACTGGGCCCGCGTGGTTGGTCATGACCCAATCTCCCTATTCCATCCATAGGGAAGGCCTGTGCTCCAGCAGTGGGGACATTAACAGGCTGATGATGATAACATTTCACCTATTGAAAAACCTCTTTGTGGTTTTTTTACCTTTTGTCACAGAGGATGTTGAATAGAGTAAAGTGATTTAAAGACTGATTCTTTTTGAAGTTATACTTCTTTAGGCGCGTTATGAAAAAATGATGAGAGTGAAATTTTAAGATGCGCGCGCATCACTGTAACACAAAAAATTAACAGCATGAAGTTGGTCGCTTTAGCGACCAACTTCATGCTGTTACTTTTGTGTTTACCGCACATTAAGAAAATCTACCAACAAAATAGAAATAGAATCTCTATTTAGTGGGTGCTAACGACTGCATTGTGAAGGCCTATCAAAAGTATTTATTAATCTGGAACAACGGACCCAAAGCGCGATTCAGGAGACTACAGCGCCATCTCTTGACCATTGGTGTAGTAGAACCAAAAACCACATCTTTATTTATCAAAAGTATTTACTAATCTGGAACAACGGAACCAAAGCGCGATTCAGGAGACTACAGCGCCATCTCCTGACCATTGGTGTAGTAGAACCAAAAACCACATCTTTATTTTTCAATGTTACTTTTATGTTATTATTGTAATAAAGTAACAGTTATAGGTATTCATATTTATAATATTTATCCACATGTTTCTAGTTTGTATATTCGGAATACGTGTTTGAGTTTCATACAAGTGCAAATCACATATGTTCTAATAAATTATATTCAGTAGCGAATTTAATTGAATATTTTGATTATTTATTTATTTTTTCAAATTAAAACTGAACTTTATTGACTGTGTCCTTTTCCAGACTTTTTATTAATTTATTGTAATTAATTATTTGCATGCAATTAAAAACTAATTTAAACGATGCCAAAGAAGGATAACTTCTCACGCGCCTACATAAGTACACGCACTCATTTTTTTTTCTATTTTGACTAACTTACTCTCATCATTAGTCCCCTCCTTCAGGCTCGACAAGTCGAGGATGTCCAGCACCACGTCGACGCCCTCCTCGCCGAGGATCATGTACGTCTTCCCTTTCTTCTTCTTCACATAGAACGGGAAGGTCACCTGGATTGTGGCTGTTAAAATACCCTTCATTATAGTTAGTAGCGGCACGCTATGATGGCCGTTTTGACGTTTCTGTGTCCATGAAATTTCTTAATGTAAATTCGAAATTAGTTCTAAATTTGAAAGAAATATTGTTTTTCATTGACATTAGAGACGCGCATTTAGTCATATAATTTATCGAATCAGTAATAACGTGTCAGTATTAGGGTGTAAAATTTAAATTACAAAACTATAATATATAATGGTCTAACTTGGGTATATCAAGGTTACGAAAACCTATTTAAGTTTTAAACCAATTAATTATCATTACATTTTTTCTCAGATTCTTTAAAGGATGAAGGAAGTTAATTTAAATAATTGTTTTATTGTGATTATCTTTGAGAACTGTTATATCATACAAAAAAATATATAATTATAGCAAACTTATTCGCCACATAACTCGGCATTTGTATTGTTCGAATCAAAATGTGAAGACACGAAATTAATAAGATCGTTACATATAGGATCACTGAGCGTGAGTAAAAATGTATTTTTTCGTTTTATTCAATCTTTATAATCATCAACTTTTTGCAACATTGGCAAAAAAAAACCTAGATGTAACGCGCATTTCATTATATTAGATATTTTCCGATAATAGATTGACTTTTCACGTCACTATTGCAATGTGTCAAAACGGCCATCATATCGTGCCGCGACATTATGATACATTGTATGAACATCAAATCATTAAAGAAAAATATAGAGTATAGAGAACACTTTTGCTAGAATTGAACTGTACTTGCTATGCAAATAAAAATACTATGCGACAATATCAATTGCAGGGGAACTACACGAAATTCTGCTTAGCGAGTCTGTGCGGAAATAGAATGGGATTTAGATTGGAGGGTGCTGTAGTGCTTCTCTACCGTATTTGTAAGGTTTTACCACTTTTGGACATGATTAAATACAAAAAAACCGCAAGAAATCACAACAACAAACAAACCCAATACAAAACTTTGACGTTTTACAGATTGCTGGGTTTGATTGCCAAATAAAAATCTTAATGTTAGTTCCGTTTTTCGCCACGCCCATTCTCTTTCCGGACAGACTCTAGAAGCTTTTCTGCTGTGTTGGCGTTTCTCATTTGCAGCGTCGCGTCTTTGATACTCGCTGTCGGAGTAAAAACTTCGGCCTACATAAACAACGGCCTTACGATTGTCAATCTTTTGGTAATTTCGTTAGTAATATTTTTAAGGCTTTTATTATGCCGATGTTGGCAATTGATCGGAGAAGAATGGCGGTTTAAATGGCCCAGTGGGGTGTTGTCTGGAGCTGCTACCTGTTTTTATGCATTATGCTAATTCCATAGCCCTATAGCATTCTCGGTGCCTACGAAATTAGAGTTTGACAAGAAAGACCGTTGACTTTATTGTCAAACTGTAAAAAAAACTGGGCAGTTAAGTGTGAGCGAGACGAAGCGATCGCGCGGCCAATTTTTCATAGACATGTCTATGGGCCACACCATCGCTTTCTCTCTTTTCATACTTATGCTTTCATTTCATGCGTATCGAGTATCGCTCAGTCCATCCCTTATGTTTATGGTAAATTCAAAGTTTGATTATTTTATTAGTCTAGTTATTAATTTGATTGCAACTTACCATTTCCAGTATATTTTTTTAACGGACCTGAAATAATGAATTGACGTTAACAAATGGTCGCTCACCAAATAAGAATTGAATTGGGTATACCTCTGTTGAACTTGGTTGGTACTTTTTTTTTATAAAAAATACACTAAAATGATACTGGTGTTTTGACAGTTTGGACTAAGAGTAAAAAATACTGTACTGTACAGGAATTGAAACCAAGACCTTTTGAGCAGAAGACAAGAGCATCCTCATAAAGGACGGAATTTATAATTTCAGTTTGATGTTTGTGACGGGTTAAGTTAAAGTAGGAAAGATAGATTTCAGTAGACATCGTGTAAGTGAAAGGTCGATTGTATTTTGCAATGACCTATTAATAAAGGCTATTCAGATCTATAGAACTTTAAGATTGTTTGTCGATCAAAAAGAAAATACTTTGCCAATATTTAAAACTAAATAATACAAACCTGTATGCTTCGTCATTACCAGAAATTCTGGAAATGAGAAAAGAAAATCGTTCTTTAGATTTTTGTTACATGCTCTTATTGACTTCGTTACTTGTAAAAAAACGACGGGTTGCACTCCGGGAGTGCCGGCAGAAGTGTAAACTTGAATATTAACGTTGTGCATTTTTGATATTTTGGAATGGTTAGGGAATAAATTTGCACGAATTACTTTAATTATCAGTATAAAAGTACTATCATGTATGTGGTAAAATACAATATTTATTTATTGCGCTATCGTACATAAACATGACAATTTATATTACATTAAAAAAGTTTATCTCTCAGAAAAATCAACTTACATGAATCACGTTTAAGTGCACTTAGCGACATCTATTGTAAAGAAATCAACTTACATGAATCACATTTAAGCGCACCTAGCGACATCTATTGTAAAAAAAATGCATTTTCTTCGCAATAAAGCTGCCACGTGGACGTCCTAGATAGAGACTTATTATTATAATTCAATAAAATAAAATATTACTATGTTTCGTCCAATATATTGAAAGTCAACAACCTTTCCAATTTTATTGTGTGTCATGATGCGATCAGCCCACGTGTTTAACCTGGTTAAAGTGTTCAAAAACATTTACTATCAAGTGGGTCATATTGTTTTCCCATTAGAAATAAATAAAAAATACATGAATATCCTTTACCACGTTCAGGTAGAATACAAGACTGAAGGTTCTGAAACATCAACTGGTGGAGACTGAAGGGCGTCTCCACGATAATCTTGAAGTACCGACCACCATTGTTCAAACTGAAACATAAATTAAAGACTTGAAAGTATTTGGACAAATTTTTTTTAAAACCGCGATTTCGTCCGCTCTATGAATAGGTACAAAGCCACAGCAATAGTTTCATAATGTTTATCAAAAGCTTTACGAAATTCAGGAACCGCTAGATCCATAAGTTGCAGACTTGATTTCTTAAAAAGTCTGTGGGTGTGTGAACAGACATTTTAAGAAATCAAAAGGACAGAATTGCTTATAGGTTATCTGAAACAGTCCTCAAATCTGAAATCTTTGCGAACAAAACCAAAGACCGAACCAAACCACGTTCCTTAGACACTATAAGTGTAAAGTTTGTGTGGAACTTGCGAAGTTCAACTAAGTACTTATAGTTCGTGCTAAAGGTTCTCAAAGGCTTCGGAACAGTTTGTGAACAATTATCAGGTAGATAGATATCTCCAAGTGTCCCTTGTTTACAGCAAACAATTAACTATGCTTGGAGCGATTTCATCGGGATCGATAAGCAAATGTTCGTTTTTTTTTGTAATTTCTTGGGGAAATTTACTTTGGAAACCAATTCTCTTCGGTATCTGCTTCTGATAATAAACCATGAAAACATCTCCGGCCCTTCGTTTTTAATTGTATCAAGCGTTGCCTACATGCTTGTAGAGAATATTTTTAAGGAGAAGAACCACTTTTTATGGGGTGTTGGTACAGATACCAAGTTCTTTGTACAGGAGCAAAATATATACCATAATAAAGCTTATTGTTAATGTATACTATTAGTCTTTATTTGAATTCGATAGCTAGCAGGGTTAATGAGATATTTCAATTTAAATTAAATAAAAAATAAAAAAATATTCTTAGTATAAAAAGCGTTTTTCTGGTGTTATCTTTATTATAAACCTTATTTTTTTTTAACTAATTTGAAACAACTAAATGTCTACAAAGACATAGCAGACAAAAATAATCATTATAAATATTTGATACATATACCTACAATCTACATAGGGATAGTTGATCAGATAAAGTGTGAAACTGTTTATATTTTTACTAATTGATCAGAAATTATTACAAAGATTATTTAATTATAAAAAAGAAACATAATTACTATAATCACTTTATTCATTATTTTTTCCTTTTCATGTTTTCTCTCAATAGTAAATGTGGTTGGAGCAATTACATTTTTATGCTGCCGTGCTTATCACAAAAATAATTTTACGGTCATCCGAATTATATGTTAGCATTTGGTAAGCAACAACTTTTTCTGTGTGATAAACTAATGACAACCCATACATTAAATACGATACTCTTGCCTCTCTCAATATATGCAAGTTAAAGAGATATAGTATGCTATGGTATGGTGGTAGTTTTAATCTATCTATATATATAAAAATGAAACCCGTTTTCCGTTGTCACGACATAACATGAAAACGGCTTGACCGATTTGGCTGATTTTTTTTAGAATATTCCTTAAAGTACGAGGATGGTTCTTACGAAGAGAAAAATTAAAAAAAATGGCTGAAAATGTCAAAAAACAAAACTTTTCTTTACTCCCATACAAACGATTCGTAATAATACTTAAAAGTCAATTTGAACTTTAATACCATACCATAAATTTCAAATGTTAGTGGAGAGATTCTGGGAAGGCAAAACAATTGAGCGACGTGATGTTAATAGAAGTTTGGAAAAGATAAATATACCATCTTCAGTTTTTTTATAATCTAGATATATAAAACTCAAAGGGGACTGACTGACGTAGTAATCTATCAATGCCCAGCCCAAACCACTGGACGGATCGGGCTGAAATTTGGCATGCAGGTAGATGTTATGACGTAGGCATCCGCTAAGAAAGGATTTTGATCAATTCTACCCCCAAGGGGATAAAATAGGGAATGAAAGTTTGTATGAAACTTTGTCAATTTTAAAACCGAACGGGCTGAGACTTTGCATGCAGGTATAACAATAATCATAGATGAATGTCATTGTGTATAAAACAAGCCTGAGAACAAAAACTGTAGTCTACGCTTCAGCTCTACACCGAAGCGAAGCGAGGGCGGGCCGCTAGTACTTATAATAAATCTGTAGAGGGGTCAATTCTGTACATGAAATATATTTTCAAAATAACTATCAGGGGGTGATTAGTGATCAATACTGATGCCAAAAATGCAATCAGTAAAATTTTTGTCTGTCTGTCTGTCTGTCTGTCTGTCTGTCTGTCTGTCTGTGTGTATGTTCCTTATAGAAACAAAAACTACTCGACGGATTTTAACGAAACTTGGTACAATTATTCTTCATACTCCTGGGCAGGTTATAGTATACTTTTCATCACGCTACAATCAATAGGAGCAGAGTAATGAAGGGAAATGTTGGGAAAACGGGAGAAGATACTCCATTTTTTAAGCTTCCGTCGCGTGCGCAGCCTTAATGGTTAAAGTTACATAGAAATTATGTATGACGGAAATATTCTACATAAAATTTTCTAAAAAATATCCCGGAACAGCATATGTCTATCTTTTATGGTTGACTTACAATAACACGTGTAACTCCTGATAGCTTAGCAGTTCGGAGCATTCTGATTATATTTGTTTACTCTTACGTTTATAATACTCTCACTCATCCCTAATTTAAAAGTTAACATTATTACCTATTCAATAAAAAAAGAATCATAGAAATCGGTATAGAAACACCAAACTTATACATGAAATAAGCCATCGCGCCGTCGTACGTGAATACTGAATCATGCTATAAGGATTTATTTTTGTGTAACGGATAAGACAAAATGATCGACCAATGGGCGGTATCACAGTTTTATTTTGTGGTGATTTCCGACAAACCTTACCGGTAATACCACGGGGAACCCGAGCTGATGAGGTTAGGGCTTGCCTGAAAAGCTCTTATTTGTGGCGTGATATACAATCGGTGCATTTGACTATAAACATGCGAGTGAGAACTGGAGATAACCCGGATGATCGTGAATTTTCTGATATATTAAGGATTGGTGAAGGTACCTATCCACTGCTACACCAAGGAAAACTTATTCTGACGCCTGAATTATGTAGTATAGTGCAATCCCAACAACATCTCATATCGTCAGTTTACGGTGACGTAACAAATATCTATATATATAAAACTCAAAGGTGACTGACTGCCATAGTGATCTATCAACGCACAGCCCAAACCACTGGACGGATCGGGCTGAAATTTGGCATGCAGGTAGATGTTATGACGTAGGCATCCGCTAAGAAAGGATTTTGATCAATTCCACCCCCAAGAGGATAAAATAGGGAATGAAAGTTTGTATGAAATTTTAAACCGATCGGGCTGAGACTTTGCATGCAGGTATAAGAAGAATCATAGATGAATGTCATTGTGTATAATACAAGCCTGAGAACAAAAACTGTAGTCTATACTTCAGCTCTACACCGAAGCGTAGCGAGGGCGGGCCACTAGTGTTTAAATAATAATAAAGAATTCACACTCTTTATGTAGTATATGGTGACGACATTGTTAGTAACAGAGTCCATAAAACAAGCAAAAATCAGTGTCGTCTTTTATCGAAAGTCTACAAAAATAGCACAAATCACAAAATCAAAGAAAGCATCGGTAAAATCCAAAATTCCAAAATTTTTATGGCTGTTTCCGTTTTACACAGAAAAAAAAATATATGCATCACAAGCGAAATGCCAATTGCCGTAATGACAGACCAATGACAGACACTGTCATCATAAGTTGTCATGTGACGTTAGATATGTGACCATTTAAAAAATCGAATATAGTATTCAATGTTATATTTCAAATATATTAATAATATAATATTTTGTTAGAGATTCTGGTCCAATTTATACGTGATTTTATTCTTAGAATTTATTGACGTTAAAAAAATAGTTATCTGAGCAATTTAAACAGTACTTCCATTAAACATTCAACTATGATTAGTTGAATCGATTGTTACGAATTTAATAGTTAACAACGTTCCTTTACACGCTAAACGCTACGTTCCTTTATACGTTGAAGGTTTTACACCATTTTTTGAGTTTCACCACTAGCGAAATGAATATTTTTATCTTATATTACTTACTTTTTAATGCTTAACATAATATCAAAAAAATGTGTTTGTACAAGATCAGTGCCAAAATGGTTGTTCTCCTTTTGTAACGAGAAGTTTTTTGCTGTCTCTCCTGTCGTTTCATTTAATGCGTTATCTTCCGATCTTTTTAGATGTACTTACGATATGCCCTTGAGCTCGCTTTCTTCGAAGCCGGATATCCTGATGCAGGTGCCAGAAGCTCCATACCGGAGGTAGAACGGGGAGTATTCGTCTATGCCCAGCTGTGGGCTGCCCAGTAGAAAGTCGTGACATAGTGCTTTGTACTGCCGCTTGAAGCATTCGAAGTCTGTCGAGTGGCAAGCGATGATTGTGTGCCCTGAAAATGTGGGGAACTGAATCTGAGTTTAGCTTTGAACCTGATTGATAGAAGTTTATTTCAATGATAGTAGTTATATAATTACTACGAATGTAGCTTTTATTGTTTTTTTGTCGTTTTTTTGTCGTAGGTGCATTGTCTATTATTCGTCTACGTATTCTTGAGAGTTCTGTTTCACTTTTTATGTTTATATTTTTTGTTTTTTTTTTGTTGTGTAACATCTATAGGCGCACGTAAAACCGATTTCTGGTGTGGCGACTCATGCCGTGGCTACGCGTCGCCACGCTATATGATGGTATATATACAGTCTGTATGTATATATATATATATATATACAGTCTATATGCAGTAGTGTGTACGGTGTGGCGACACGTCATGCGCAATCGAATTCGATTTTTGTAGGTATTTAATGAAAATAAATGTTTATTAAATAAACAGTCATCATTTTCTGGAAAAAAATCATAATATTTTATCATTATACCATATTTAGTTCCTATCGCAATCTGTTCTTTTCTGCATATTATTTTTACAAAATAATGTCGATGTTTCACATCTGAGGAGCTCGATGGCGCGGATGGTTAGCGCGTTCGGCTGCGATCGTTGCAGTTAAGCAACTTTCGCAGTGGTCGGTCATTGGATGGGTGACCAAAAATCTTCTATCTCGAGTTCCTCCGTGCTTCGGAAGGCACGTTAAGCCGTTGGTCCCGGCTGCATTTGCAGTCGTTAACACCCACCAATCCGCACTGGGCCCTCGTGGTGGGTCATGGCCCAATCTCCCTATTCCATCCATAGGGAAGGCCTGTGCACCAGCAGTGGGGACATTAATAGGCTGATGATGATGATGATGATGATAATGTTTCCCATGACGGCTCACATTTTTTTCTGTATTTTACTAATGATCTGCAATAATATGCCTTAATTTTCTATTAATTCTGATAATAATACGTTTGGCATAAATTTTAATGGTTTTGTAGATTCTTGAACGGTTCGTTAACAATTTTATTATTGTTATCTCAGTCACATAATTATTTGCTAAGATTCATCGGACATCATTGTCTATTTAACATTCATTGGACCTAATTAATCTATGTAAGTAACACTATGCTTTTGGAGTGCCAGTTACCAACTTACTCCCTTAAATTTACCTAAATATTGATTTTTGTGGCAATCATTATATGGAAAACACGCAGTCTTTGGAATTTCAGGTCCTATTTGTGACGCGCTAAAAAATAATACATTCTCCGGTCTGTCCCAAAACCGATATTTTTATAATTAGAATCGTTTCCATAAAACACGGGTGTTCGGTGGTAGGCGTCTCATAAATATTTATCGCTCCAGAATTTTCGATAGCTCTTTGTTCCTGAAAATTGGTGTTTGTTATAATGAAACTGTTATTTATATTTGCTTTTATATTACGAAAGTAATCGAAATTATGATTAAAGATTGAAATCTTCAATCAGTGCGTCCTACCTGTGATGACATACGGAGCCGAGACGTGGACACTGACGGTACGGCTGGTCCACAGGTTCAAAGTCGCTCAACGCGCTATGGAAAGGGCTATGCTCGGCGTTTCTCTGAAGGATCGCATCAGCAATGAGATAATCCGACAGAGAACCAGAGTTATCGACATAGCCCACTGGATCAGCAAGTTGAAGTGGCAGTGGGCTGACCATATTTGTCGAAGAACCGATAACCGTTGGGGTAGACGAGTTCTGGAGTGGAGACCGCGTCTAGGCAAACGTAGTGTAGGACGTCCTCAGGCGCGATGGAGTGACGATTTGCGCAAGGTGGCTGGCAGGAGCTGGATGCGAGTAGCCCAAGATCGATCTGAGTGGCATGCATTTGGAGAGCCCTATGTCGAGCAGTGCACTCAGATAGGCTGTTGATGTTTGATGATGATGATCGAAATTACAGTATTCTATAAAAAATAAGCGTCAGCCAATTTATTCCAAGTAGTGCTTTCCAACTTCAGACGTATTTCTGAAGTCATTTTTCAACTTGACGACTCTGTATATAACAATACAGTGAGAAAAAAACAGCCCTTGCTGAGTTTCTTGTCTTACACTCGTGATAATTTTTGTCACATATGTTTGTTTTAAATGCTGATGAGTTTCTTGCGCCCATTATTCTCATCAACTTTCAATAAGTCAATTTAAATAAACTGTAATTTCATATTTAAAGTGTTAAATCATACGGGAATTTCGCTGTTGCCTCTCTTCGGTCCCGTTTCAACAATTATAATGGAAGGTGAGATCATGCTTCATATTTAAAGTCATATTTCAAATTAACGGCTCTAAACAAACAATGAGATAAAACAGCCTTTACGCCAAGTTTCTTGGCGATGCTTCTTATTAAAAAGTCTCTCACGCAGCACCGCACCGTAGGGCGTAGATTCAAGAACTGATTATGTAGCTTTTCAACTTTGCCGAATGTCCCGATTATTATCAGGGATATATTGTATTGGGATAACTGAAAATTGTTGGCTGCCAAAGAGAACTCTCGATGGCTGTATAATAATCTTGACATGAAAATCATAAAATAAAAAAAGGCCGATGCACTTTGTTTATTTTGCCTTATCCAAAAAAAAGAGAATATAAAAAAAAAGCAATTTAATTTGTCAAAATGGTGTTATTTATTTACTAGAAAAGTAATATTCAATAATTTATTTTTCTAAAAAACTATTATTGCGCTGGTGTTGAGACTTTGCATAGAGACTTCATTGACAGAGACCTTTTCACCCAAAAATAGTGAAGTGTCAATTCTTGGGCCCTGGAAGTACAGTTTTACCATTATCAGCTAATAATGAATAAAGTACTTTTGTATTTAGTTTCTAGTGAACTTTTTGCTTTGACGTTTAATTTTTGTTCCCGCCTTCCGTTTAATGGTGAAAACAGTTAGTAATTTTTCAGATACTTTTTGAGGACTTCATTTTTAAGTATGTAATATTATAAGAGTACCTATGGTTGTTTTTTAGAAATACTGAAAGTTATATTATATTCCTTTAAAGAAGTCATAGAAAATTTATTGAATCTAACTCACTCGATGTAAAAGTTCAGTGGAATTCAGTAGTACCTAAGGATAGCTGTTGGTGATAAAGAACAGTCACTTAACCACATCCACCAATTTGCTGACCTGAATCCTATCCCCGGGATTTTTTGGAAACATCATCACTGCATGATCAATATACTATAGAATTTCTGGACTCAAACTATCTCTGTACCAAATTTCATATAAATAGGTTCAGTGATTTAACCGCGAAGAGGTTATAGACAAACAGACAGATACACTTTCGCATTTGTAATATTAATATGGGAATAGGGGTGATGACGGGGTACAGTAAACGAAATTCTATTTAGTCCGTCATTCAGTTAGATGATCTAAAAATAATGGACACGTATTTTTTCTTTGAGCAATCAACCAAAAAATGACAAAGTTATAGCGCGTCAAAGTTTGGGAGTAGGGGGTCACTTTTAAGTGAAAATTGTACCAAAACGCGACGTCATGCGACTTTTCTAATCAATATATCTCTGCAATGTTTATATTATGTGAAAAAAGAAAAAATACGTGTCCAATATTTTTTGATAATCTACCTGATAAACGAAGAAAACAAAATTAGTCATCATCCCTATTGTGTACGTTAAAAGGGATTCTGATGTCAATGATATTTGTTTGTTTGAGAAATATATGTTTGGGCTCTTTTGTATAAAAACTCATTCTTGCTTACCAATTATATCCGATGCTTCTTTCCCGTAACACAAACATAAATAATTCAGTAGCAGTACAAGGAAACCAGCAGGCATTTTGTCCAACGCCCCGTCCGCAATTAATTACAGAACAACTAAATCTAAACCGTCGCTTTTAATAACCACTTGTAATTGCGAACTGCGATTGGCGATTGTCCGTCTGTCCGTCTGTCAAGACCATTTTTCTCAGGAACGCGTGGAGGTATCAAACTGAAATTCATATCTAATACTCATGTCTACTGTCCCTTGGAGCTGTGAAAAAATCAAACTTGAAAGCCAAAGCAAACAAAAGAGTTAAAATGCACGCGCACGGCTTTTGACAGCCAAGCCAGCTTAACCGAGCGAGTATAGCTGAGCGAGTATCGCTGAGCGAGGATCGCTGAGCGAGTATCGCTGAGCGAGTATCGCTATGCGAGTTTGGCTGAGCGAGTCTTATCTTTAATAACTATTGTCACTCAGCTACAAACGAGTAGAGAGATTTCTCGCCGGCGACAGTGTGATTATTCAGCTATCAACTATTAATATAAAAAAAGATGGCGCGTAACGGAAAAATGTGACGCGTAACCGAAAAATGTGACGGTAAATTTTTTTCCAACGCCGATAAAGAAGTTTCACTTCAAAAAACAATTTAATTTGTCAAAATGGTGTTATTTATTTACTAGAAAAGTAATATTCAATAATTTATTTTTCTAAAAAACTATTATTGCGCTGGTGTTGAGACTTTGCATAGAGACTTCATTGACAGAGACCTTTTCACCCAAAAATAGTGAAGTGTCAATTCTTGGGCCCTGGAAGTACAGTTTTACCATTATCAGCTAATAATGAATAAAGTACTTTTGTATTTAGTTTCTAGTGAACTTTTTGCTTTGACGTTTAATTTTAGTTCCCGCCTTCCGTTTAATTGCGATTGTCCGTCTGTTCGTCTGTCAAGACCGTTTTTCTCAGGAACGCGTGGAGGTATTAAACTGAAATTCATATCTAATACTCATGTCTACTGTCCCTTGGAGTTGTGAAAAAATCAAACTTGAAAGCCAAAGCAAACAAAAGATACAGCCATTTATGCCGCAAATTTTGGAAACTCGCATATGAATCAAAACCTACAGGGTACTTCCTGTGAACTTAGAATCTTGAAATTTGGTTCGGAGTAACGTCTTATAGTACAGATAAAGGAAAAATTGCTAAAACCGTAAATTTTTTGTTACTTAATAAAAAATATTTTTGATAATTTTAAAGTTACTACCTGTTTTGTCATGAACGCGTCATCATCAGCCTGTTAATGTCCCCACTGCTGGGGCACAGGCACAGGCCTTCCCTATGGATGGAATAGGGAGATTGGGCCATGACCCACCACGCGGGCCCAGTGCGAATTGGTGAGTGCTAACGACTGCAGATGCAGCCGGGACCAACGGCTTAACGTGCCTTTCGAAGCACGGAGGAGTCGAGCTCCTAGTAAGTCTAGTAAATTTTTGGTCACCCATCCAATGACCGACCACTGCGAAAGTTGCTTAACTTCAACGATCGCAGCCGAACGCGCTTACCAAATGCGCCATCGGACTCCTCCATGCTCCATAAACGCGTAGAGGTATTAAATTGAGTTTATACGGAACCCTCGGTGCGCGAGTCCGAATCGCGCATGGCCGGTTTTTTTTGTATTCTAACAACTTTATTTGTTTCTTAGGTTTTCACGCACATCACTCATTAAATAAAACTAGTTTTTACGGGTTAATGCACGAAACTTTATTTATTTATTGACGTTTCGCAGCCTTTTCAGGTCTGCATCGTCAGAATAATGATTTTTTATTTAAAATTGTCGAGCTACCTTCGAAAGACTTATATTGAGCGTTCGGTTATTTCATTGGAAGAATTTTAAAATTTTATTGTCTATGTATGAATTAACTATTTAATTTACTTAATAAAGTATTTTATTTAAAATTCTTGTTTGTAATTTTGAGTTTATTTATTTGACCCTAACTACCGTAAACTACCACCGGTTCCAAAATTGGGAGACCTTCCTGAGAAGAACCGGCGAAACAAACTCAAGAGAGGCTTTCTATCTCCTTCTTATGTTAAATTATGCAAACAAAAAGAACTAATAGTATCTGATGATCTTGCAGTGTGTGCTCGGGGTTCATCAGTTCAGTTTTATTCTAACAACTGATTCTTACTTACCAATAATATCCGATGCTTCTTTCCCGTAACACAAACATAAATAATTCAGTAGCAGCACAAGGAAACCAAGGAGCTTTTTGTACACCGCCCCGTCCGCAACTAATTACAGTACAAATAAATCTAAACCGTCGCTCTTAATAACCACTTGTAAATGCGAACTGCGATTGGCAATTGTCCGTCTGTCCGTCTATCCGTCTGTCAAGACCGTTTTTCTCAGGAACGCGTGGAGGTATCAAACTGAAATTCATATCTAATACTCATGTCTACTGTCCCTTGGAGCTGTGAAAAAATCAAACTTGAAAGCCAAAGCAAACAAAAGATACAGCCATTTAAGCCGCAAATTTCCGCAAATTTTCGAAACTCGCACAGAAACAAAACCTACAGGGTACTTCCCGTAAACTTAGAATCTTGAAATTTGGTACGAAGTAACGTCTTATAGTACAGATAAAGGAAAAATTGCGAAAGCCGTATTTTTTTTGTTACATCATTTATATTAAAAAATATTTTTGAACATTTTAAAGTCACTACTTGTTTTCTTATGAACGCGTAGAGGTATTAAATTGAGTTTATACGGAACCCTCGGTGCGCGAGTCCGAATCGCGCATGGCCGGTTTTTTTTGTATTCTAACAACTGATTCTTACTTACCAATAATATCCGATGCTTCTTTCCCGTAACACAAACATAAATAATTCAGTAACAGCACAAGGAAACCAAGGAACATTTTGTCCATCGTCCCGTCCGCAACTAATTACAAACGAACAACGAATTCTAAACCGTCGCTCTTAATAACCACTTGTAATTGCGAACTGCGATTGGCGATTTTAAAAAGCAGTAATCCTTAACTTTGTATGGTAATGAATAGATGTTTATCTGATGAAAGAAAACATGACGGCATAGGGTATTATGTTTTTTGTAAAACATTTCTTACATCATTTTGGCTGGTGCAAAATGGAAATAAAAGATGTATAATGGGAGCAGCTTACTTTTAGCAACTAGAAATAAACATATATGAGCCAGTTAATAAAATATGATTGTATATTTGACTAGCGGCCCGCCCTCACTTCGCTTCGGTGTAGAGCTGAAGTGTAGACTATAGTTTTTGTTCTCAGGCTTGTATTATACACAATGACATTCATCTATGATTTTTTTATTATTATGTACCTGCATGCAAAGTCTCAGCCCGATCGGTTTAAAATTGACAAAGTTTCATACAAACTTTCATTCCCTATTTTATCCCCTTAGGGATAGAATTGATCAAAATCCTTTCTTAGCGGATGCCTACGTCATAACATCTACCTGCATGTCAAATTTCAGCGCGATCCGTCCAGTGGTTTGGGCTGTGCGTTGATAGATCACTATGTCAGTCAGTCTGATACCTTTGAGTTTTATATATATATATATATATATATATATATAGATTTCTGAGCGTTGCTGCTGAATTAATATCAAATATTTGAAGTATAATATTTATGAAATGGATTGACGCCCTTGAAAATGAGTAATATATATAAATAAGTAACTAATAAGGAAAATGAACAGGAAGTCCCGACATCAACTGTTGAATACACTATCAATATTAAAGTTCCATGTAAAGGAGATTTTTGCCATATTTATAAATGCAAAATAGGGCCACTTGCATTAATATTTTAAAATTAAATTAGGGGCTAATCTTGTTTAAAGCATCATTTCATCTTTGTTAATTGTTTAAAGCCAAAAGAAGATAGAAACATGATTAGCTTTCATGATAACATCTTTAGTGCATGTTTATCTTTGGAACAGATGAGTAGAGATATTTTTTTTTTGCAATCCAAGAAAATATGAAATTTATGTGAGTGTCATTTGACATAGTCTCATAAATGTGCTTAAAATAGGATTTATTTATGTAATTACTGATAACTTTGAAAATGGCCAAGTTCTGAATGTCCATAATTAAATATAGTATTTTCTTGAGAACAATAGTTGCATATACACCGATGATGCTTTGTTGAATTTAATACTGGAGTGGAGAAGAGAGAAAAAAAGATAACAGAAAAAAAGGATGTTTTCAATGATAATTGAAACTCCTTTCGACTGAACATAGAATATAAATAAAGGGAATAGATATTATCAAGTGTCCTCAGGCACGATGGAGTGACGATTTGTGCTGGCTGGAGTGACGAAGGTGGCTGGCAGAAGCTGGATGCGAGTAGCCCAAGATCGACCTGAGTGGCGTGCAATTGGAGAGGCCTATGTCCAGCAGTGGACTAGGATAGGCTGTTGATGATGATGATGATGAAATATCTTTTTATCAGATGAAATAATCCGACAGCTAAGGATTACTACATCTGATAAAAGATACTTGATAATATTTGAAAATGCCTTATTATTACAATAGTTCTTCTCTTTGACAAAATATTAGGCTAAACTAATGGCAAATGGAGCGTCCATTCAAGATATAATACACCTAGCATAGTGCTGCATTATCTGTGATACTAGCCTTTCAAGAATTCCCATTATCATTCCGCTTTAAACCTAAAATTTTTAATGAAACTGGAATGCATCCACGGGAATCTGGGAATAATCCTAATAAAGATGCCGCAAAGGCAGTCTGTTTATGACATTACTGCAGTATCGGTCGATTGCTTCCCAGAAAATAGATTATATTTCTTCAATTGTTCGAAACGATTGTTCAATTATATCGTGTCCAAGTTGGGGAACTAAAACTTTTTTGCTTGCGGTAGATTTCAATCATGCGTTTAAAGTGTTGATCTAAATTCCAATGGGTATTTATCGTAGGCTGACATGATGGGGGATTCGTTTAATAAAAATAATCTGAACTGACATGTTCGTATAAGGTTTCCTTTGCCACCTTTTGACTACGAACATTTTAAAATTAATTGCCACTAAGATTTACCATTATTTGAGTACTTACGACTTTACTGAACTTTTAAATTCCTGTCTTTTATTCGTTTGTATGAAAGTTTTTACAAGTTAAATATTTAGGGGCTTAATGTCACATTGTCATTTTTCTATGGGTTATATAACTAGTTTTAGTTAAATTGAGATTTAGCAAAGTTGCTGCAAGTGGACCTTAAAAATTACATCTGTAAGAGGTTGCTACGACTTCTGCAAGATGTAATTTCTAAGGGTTGCTAGTTTATTAATAAATATTGCGAAAACATATACTGATATGTCATCAATCAGGTAGTATATCCCTTGGACGTGCGAGTGTGGAGTTTTATCTCTTTTTCTCCTAATAAAGATATACTATAATCCCTGAGCTCTGAAAGGATACGAATAAAAGGACGAAAGACAGATGCGTTTTAACGCACATCGCATGCCAAAATACGCTATCCTTACGTTGATTTTATTTTGTATCGACATGCGAATGGATTTAGCATAATGAGAATAGAAATTAATAATTTAGAAACTACATGAAATCTTCACAAATATACACTCAATATATTTTTATGTTAAAAAAACATAGAACATTTAAAAAGGTTCATCTTTCTTGATAATGTGTACAAGATATGGATATTTTTTAAGGAAGACATGCACACACACACACACACACACACACACACACACACACACTACACCAAACACGTACACAGTCATTTACATAAATTTAGTTATCATGCTTCATTTATAATTTTGATTTATATTTATCGCAAAATTAATTTGAATCATTGTTGGTATTTATTTTATGTTATTGTTTATTTTATATTTCTACTCTACGTTATCATTTTAATTTTTGAATTGAATACAAAGTGAGTTTCGGTAATTGGCTAAAGTACCGTTTAATAAAAAATATTAGATTATATTGTGTAAAACGCTGTTGAAACTTGTTGATGATAAATAAAAAAAAAATAAAAAAAAACAAAAAATTTCAAACGTAAGTATCTGTTAGATGAAGAACAGAAAATGGAATTAACATAAGAATATTACAACCCGAAGCTTGAGTTCCTTTCCTCTATAACAGCAAGGGATTCAGAAAAAATCCCCAAACTTGTCATAAAAAAAGTTTCTATCCTGTGTGCGAGCAATTTAAGTGAAATTTATTTTTCGCTCAAGCACTTTGTTAATCAACGGTCGGGGAGGACGGGGTATAATAAACCCTGTAATTAAGTGTGCCACTTTGTGTCTCCCTCCCCTTTTTTCGGACATTTATCACTTACATCTTTTGTGTAGAAATTTGCTTTAGAATTTCTGATAGGAAATAAATCATGATGGGTATTTATGGTGCCATTTAATTGATAATGGCTACAAAACTAAGATAATAAATTATACACAAGTATTTAGGGATTTGTTTATTGCAGACATTTTAAAAGGACGTTGGTGGGAAAACTTGCATTTTTGCAGGCCGGCAATTCTTATATTATACACACTGACTTTCTTCATAATAATTATAAACCTTCCATTCCAAGTAAAAAATTCGTTGCGTAGTTTAGGACCCGGTCGTACCGAATGCAACATTGCTCTGCTGGTCCGATTTGGAAAATTCTTTTTGTATTGGACAGCTCATTTATCGAGTAGAGACTATAGGCTGTATATTACCAGGCTATGACCAGTAGCAGCGGAGCATTGATGAAAAATGTTTCAAAAACGGGTAAAAATATTCCATTTGTGAGATTCCGTTGCGTGCGCTGGGTAAACGGTTAAAGTTATACAAAAATCATGTAAGACGGAATTCTTCCTCTTTAAAAGTTCTATAAAAAAGTCCACGACAGCCTATTTCTATATTTTATTTTAAGTATGACTCATTATAAACCTTTTTCTTCAAATTAACGCGGGTGAAACCGCAGGGGACCTCTAGTTGTGACATAACTGTAATTGTTAGACATATGGTATCGCGGACTTTTTTGTAGATATTGGTATCCTCTATAAAACTTTAGTAAATCACTTTGCTCTATTGTCAATGACTTCCGTAGCGTACGCGATATAAGGCTATTTTTTTGGTATTTTTTACACACGTTGGGTTACATTATCGAAGTTTTCATACGGAACCCTAACTTTTTTGAAAATACACTATAGCCTATATTAATCAGTGATAATGTAGCATTCAAATGGTTAAAATCAGTCCTGTACTTTTTGAGCCAATTCGTTACAAACATACTTACATACAAATCTTTCCTCTTTATAATAATAATAAAACTTAATTAATTGATAAAGAATATTATTAAAAGTATTTTGTTTAACAAACGATATATTTTAAACAAATGTTGCTTTTTGTGGAAAAAGAAAAATAAAAAGATTAGTTTCTTTTGCTCGTTCTTCCTCATATTTTTTTATCACCCTTTCAGAGAAAATTTATGAAATCATACTTTATTGAAATTCATTTCTAAGAAAGCTCCTTTTCAGTATAACTTTTAGGTGACACAAAAGGTGTACTGAAAGGGTGATATGAAAAAATATTACGATTCATAATCAAGTGACTTTGGAAACTATTGTTTTATAAATATTTATTTTATTTATTCATACTTAATGCACAAGTGTACAAAGGCGGACTTAATGCCATAGGCATTCTCTACCAGTCAACCATAGGGTGTTGTGGATAAATAGTGGTAGGGTGCACAAATTAGATGGAAAAAAAGACGAACAGATATAAATACGAAGTAGTCATATACATAATTACACATACATAAATAAGTACTTACATATAAATAAACATACATATAAATTCACACATACATACATATATACATATATAAACATACATACTAAAAAATGGATGCGTGTAACTTATGTACGCGCGTGAGAAGTTATACTTCTTTAGCATCATTAAAAATATTTTTTAATTGCATGCAAATAATTAATAATTACAATAAAATAATAAAAGGACTGGAAAAGGATAGTTAACACAGTCAATTAAGTTCAGTTTTAATTTGAAAAATTAAATAAATATTCAAAATATTCAATTAAAATCACTACTGAATTTAAGTTATTAGTCCATATGTAATTAGCACTTGTAAGTAACTAAAACACGTTGTGTCTATATAGAAACTAGAAACATGTAGATAAATATTATAAATATGATAACAGTGATCAGAGGCGACGAGCGTGCCAACATTGTTTTTGACAACGCGATCATCTTATGGAGCTCCGTGGATCGTTCAAAGTACCTTTCGAACAGATGTCTAATAATCCACCATTATTAGACACTAGCATTCATAACGCGCCCGCGGCCAACTTCATGGTGTTACTATTGTGTTACAGTGATGCGCGCGCATCTAAAAATTTCACTATCATCATTTTTTCATAACGCGCCTAAAGAAGTATAACTTCAATAAATACATAATAATGACGACTAACGTTTAGGCTAGACTGCTTGTTCCTGTAAAAAGCTTCGTAGCTTGGTTTTGAAGCTGATTTTGTTGGTGGACATTCTGATATCTAGAGGGAGTTCGTTCCACAGAAGAATATTCGGTATCTGGAAATCTTTCATTTATGTTCCGGATGAGAGTTTACGCTAAATCAAAGTTAAATTTAGAGATGATAAGGACGTGTGACTATGAGAAAGTAGAATGCATTAACATCACTCCAATGATCTTTTATATTGTAAGGAAATAACAGTGACAATTTGCCAGTTTTTCGGCTACAACAGGACAGAATAGATTTACCGCTTGATTTAGAGTACCCGTCGGGCGAGGAATTTTCCAACTTACAGGAGATCATAGTAAAGAAACCATATCTTTGGTGTTGTTGTGTTTCTGTCGGTGAGTGAGGTTCCTGGGCTCCCCGGGGTAGGGGATTGGGTCAGGGTAGGCAATGGTGCGAGCGATATTTTTGGTACAGCAAACATCCATAGGTTATGGTGCCTTTTTTTTTTATAACGCGGGTAAAAAATCTTTTTACAGACGACGGCGCCTTTAAGAGGCGCACAGCCGAACGGACCTCACACCTGGCTCCCGCAAGTCTTACGGACCCCCCAGTGGCTACCCACCGAGGACCCCGCAATTCTTACGGGCGCTTTACAGCATAATATCCGCTAAAAAAGTCCTGCGAATACCTCTACACTGCTTAGTGGGGAGCCGCAGGGTCCCCGTTAGGGATTCTACCACGGCTCCGCCCCCAGCGCCGGGGCTCCACGGCAGGGGTCTCCCGCGGTATTACGGGGACCCCGCAGACGTGTTAGGTTATGGTGTCTGCTGACTGTCAGGCGGGGCATACGCTTGGTGCCACTCTTTTAACATAAAAAAACAATAGCGTTTTTTCAGTTTAGGCTGTTACAAGCACTTGTGAATGTCGAAAAGCTACGCCATCGGTTCGCACGGCGGGAGACCTTGTACTGAGAAGA